ACACAAAACATTACTACTGCACCAAGCCTTACTACTACACAAAACATTACTACTGCATCAAGCATTACTACTGCTACACAAAACATTACTACTGCCACACAAAACATTACCACTGCACCAAGCATCACTACTGCTACTACTACACAAAAAACTACTACACACATTACTAGTACTACACAAAACATTACTAGTACTCTAAGCACTACTGCTACTACTACACAAAAAATTACTGCAACTACACAAAACTTTACTACTGCACCAAATGTTACTACTATTACACAAAACTTTACTACTTCCCCAACAATTCCTATTACTACATCTAAAACTTACACTACACCTTCTACTTCTACTAGTACTACATCTCCAACTTCAGTTACCCCGCCTACCACCACTGCCCTGAAATGTGATAATGGAGGGGAAAACGTAAACGGTGTCTGCCTCTGTCCTGATGAATGGACTGGAGAGACATGCTCAGAAGGTAAGAACAAACAAACAAACAAACAAACAAACAAACAAAGATGATTTAATTTTTTGTTCACTTTTTAGATTTGCAGAAAACCGCAACTATGTGATGCTATTAGCCGCAAGCTGATGCTTTGTGTCAGTAATTTACTTTTATATTTGTTGTTACATTAAAGTTTACATGAATTACATTTTTTCTGTGATATAAAGATGTGGGAAACCACAACCAGATCGTTAACTGAAATAAATAACTAACCAACACTTTGAGCAATCATTACATGTCCAAACTTAGGATCTTCAGGTCTTTACTTTATTGTGTGATCCAGCTTTTAAACTACAAAAATCCTGTCTCAGTTATAAAAAAAAACAAAAAAAACAATAAGAGATGGTTATGCAAATGCGATTTTAAAAGAACATGCCATTGGAGTCCGCTCAAATGTGATTGGTCAACAGCATTCAGATTGTTAATCACTGAGACTAAAATTCTTTCTCTAAACATGGATCATCGATTTTTTTCCCACTTTTGTATTTTTATATAAATAACTAATTATGTGTTTTTTCTGCCTATATTTTAATACCTTTGTCTTCTTAGTAAATTTCTGCGCAGCCCAACGATTTGAAGGATTCAGGTTCCCCCGTACACCCATTGGTTGGTTCGCATATTCTGATGAAATATGTGAAGTGGGAACAAGTGGCGGTAAGTCACCCCTTCAGTCCAACATCACTTTGTCAGGTACACCCCAATGTAGTGATGTTTGTCTTTCTATCAACATCCCCACTCAGCTGGAAAACCTCAGGCTTCAACCAGATGCTTGTTCATGAGCGAATCACCAGGTTTCAACACTCTACATATCTTGCAGTGTAACCTGACACTCAGTGATATACAACAAAATGTAAGAACTGTTTTTATTCTTCTGAAGACTTATTACTTGATGGTCTTATACAGTTGCAGCTTGAACTGAGTATTTTATGTAATCCGGTAAAAAGGCAACAAGACATGCACAGGATTACACATTCATTTAAGGACCACAAAAAAAAAAAGAAAAAACGTATTTCTTCCACTCAGCTGACCAGTCCAGCTGATTTAGAGATGCTGGCAACCAGCACTCAGATTCTGACATCCAACCCAGAAGAGCTGACGGCTGAAAATGTTACAGCAGCGGCTGAGATCGCCAACACACTGCTGCTGTCTGCAAATGCCACAGAGGTACAAACATTCAACAAAACTTAAGAAAAAACCCTGCTGTAGCATCAGTAGTTACTGACTGTAGCATCCTGGTTCATGTTTGTATTGCAGAGTGTCAGAGTGGCAGCAGTAGCAACGGTCAGTCAGCTGCTGAACACCACTGTATCAGATGACACAGAGGAAAACAACACAACTCTGGGGTGAAGTACTAAGAATAAAATATTAATCTATTAACTCATATGACGTCTTCAATTGTGTTTAGCTTAAATTAGCCACTTTTCCTGGTTTAAAGCAACTATACTCACTAGGTACTTCATTAAATACACATTGATTGTTGCAAGTTGGACTGATGCTCTTTTAACTTCAGAACTGCATAGATTCAACAATTTGCTGGAAATGTTCCTCAAATTTTGGCCCATATTGTCGTGATAGCATTGCACAATTGCTAGAGATTTTTTGGTTGCACACCCATAAACTCTTTTTCAGGCTGTTTTCTGTAAACTCGACATTTAAAGAGAACACCCGTTTTAAGCAAATATCCCAGCAGATCATCAGTTTCCAAAATACTCAGACCAGTGCATTTGACACCAAAAAACTACATTCAAAGTCCCAACCTGTCCCCATTCTAATGATCAGTTTGAAATTCAAGATGGTCATCTTGACTACCGGTATGTCTATATGCATGCATGTACTGAGTCACTGCCATGTGATTTGCTAATTAGATACTTTCATTAATGAGCAATTTTGTAAATGTATCTAACAGACCAGTGAGTGTAAGACAGCCTGTTTTGTGGTTGCTTTTGTTTGTTATGTCCAGGCTGACGGTGACTCTGGACCAGCTCTCAGTGAACCTCAGCCTCAGTCTCAATGCATCTCAATCTCAGGTGGTTCAGCCAAACCTGGTGGTCCAGTCGGCACAGATCCCTGCTGCAAACACTCAGGGAGTCCAGTTCACTTCTCTTAGAGGTCAGTGAGAAACGGTGTTAAAGAAAAGTAATCCTCCAATTTTTTAATTTTTTTCCCCCATTTTACTGCTTTTCATCCCTTACATACAGTTTGGGTCAAATATGACTAAATTTGACACTAATAAAAATACGCTAATAAAACTTTTAACATTCAAAGCATATCTGTTCAGATAGATATTAGATCCACCGGTGTGCGTCAAGTCAAGACATATTGTGGTTTTAGGGAATCTTTAAACTGTAATACTGTGTTGAAGTGGGGACAGTTAACAGAACTGTTTGTGTTCCCCCCCACAGTTGTCCAGGTTCTTGCATGGACAGGCACCCACAGGTCTCCTCTCAGAATATCATGAAGTAGTGGAACAATTTCAATATTTGTAGCTTTAAGATTAAAGATCCAGTGGTAAGGTTCTGCATTTTTTATTATGTGATCACAAACAGCTCACTTCTTTTGCTGCTACAGGGACGTCTGGCAGTTTTGTAGCTGAGAGAATTCAGCTGAACACAAATGCAACACAGGTTGTGGTGGAAAACGGTTTCATAGCTGATGCCCTCATTTATGTAAGATTCCCTCAAGGTGAGTTTTCTAGACTTAAACAGTCTTACAACAGAACTTGTTAAGATGCTTAAGGTGTCACTAAGAGGTATTTAAGAGAGCTGTTTTAGTTTGTTATTAATAAAAATGGAGCACTTCTATTTCAGACATTGTCAGTTCTTGTTACACCCACACAAAAGTTTACCAACTGCAGTGGATTTCTTTCTCTTATGTCAGGCAAAGGTGTCAGAAGTCGTCAGACAGACTCAAACGTCTCTCTGGGTTTCGTTCTCTATCAGAACGATCGTTTCTTCCGTTCAAAACTCTACATGAGGCGACGGGCCACCATCAGGGTCCTGTCAGCCAGCGTCAGTGGGCAGGAACCCAACATGGTGCCACAACATGTGGAGATGATGTTCAGGCCAAGAGTAAGAAATCCAGCATTTCAAATTAAAGTCAATTTTAATATTTGTTGACCTCTTTTAAGTCAGTTCAAGATTTCAGATAATGGGGACCACTGGACAGCTTTTCCTTCAATAACTTGTGATCTCACCTGACAATGTATCTATAATTATGTTTGACCTTTATCTGCAGGTTTAGGGCACACAGATAGTGAGCAGTGTTTATGGTGTTTTTTATGAGACAGATAAATTAATAAACTTGCAGTAGCTGTAGCAGCTGTGATAATGGTGTAAAAATAGAACAATACCAATATACACATCACAAAGTAAAATATTCATACCTAACTTATAACCAGTTGTGTTTTTATTGTTAAAATGGTTCTGTGTTATTTTCAAAGAACTGCATATGTGCTATAAACTCTAAAAATATGAAACATAAAATCTGCTTTTGAAAGCAAATTGTATGTTTACATGTAAATCAGAGTTGTGGATTTCTGAGTAAGGCTGTGTATTTCTGTTTCAGAACATCAGTGGGACGTCTCTGTACGACTTCTCTTGTGTTTTCTGGAACTACAGTCAGAAGGACTGGAGCACCAGTGGCTGTTCTAAAGGAAACACTTCAGATGGACTCATGAGATGTTTCTGTAACCACACCACCAACTTTGCTGCTCTCTGGGTGAGGGTCACAACTTTTCAGGGCAATAGATGACGTTACAGTGTTGGGTTGCAAATTTTGAAGCCTATATATGATAACCTTCAGATCCAATTAAAACCAAAACACTCAGAAACGGCAGCTAACAGTTAATAAATTTGACAATTTTGTCAGGTGCACTTGTCAGAAGTAAACTGGTATCTATGCTAAGAAAGGGTTTTTCTCACCTTCTGGCGGCTGATGCGAGAAACAGAATCCCAGGTGCATGCCCACCGGGGCCAGGTTTGTTTACCGTATAGGTAATGAAAGGGCTGGACACAACGTGGGGCAAAAAAGATGAGCACGGAGAAAAAGGGTCCCAGGTGCATGCTTTAGCAGTGCCAAGTTTAATTAACCCTATGTTTGGACTAGTCACCATTGGCCTTAACACAATCAAAGGTTACTTACTGATCCTAATTACTACATTTTCAAACAGTATTGAACAACATGTGTTCATACAACAAGTGGCACAAACTTCATTAATATAATTAGAGATAATATTTGACTTAAATATGTGGGTCTTGTGATCTCGAACATGTAGGTTAGATGCACAGTGATTCCATTATATAAAATACTCATACTGAGCTTCTTTGTAAAGATTCCTCTGTATGCCACAATATATATATATATATATATATATATATATATATCGAAGAATCCATAGGTCCGTCATCCTATTCATGTAGCCCCTTCCGCCGGGGTTACTTGCGTAGTAGCATTCAACAACGCCCTACTGGCTAAAGAAGCTGACTGCACTCCACGAGCGTCTGGCAGCACAAATGAACCAGCTGCTAGTTAACGAGAGACACCCGGAATGGCTAACCGAAGGTCGGACGGTCCTGATCCCCAAGGACCCCAAGAAGGGACCGGTCCCCTCCAACTACCGACCAATAACCTGCCTCAGTACTACATGGAAGCTCCTGTCAGGCATCATATCGGCTAAGATGAACAGGCACATGGGTCAATACATGAGCGGGACACAGAAAGGAATTGGCAAGAATACCAGAGGCGCAAAACACCAGCTACTGGTAGACAGAACAGTCAGCCGAGACTGCAAGACCAGACTGACCAACCTGTGCACTGCCTGGATTGATTACAAGAAGGCCTATGACTCAATGCCCCACAGCTGGATACTGGAATGCCTAGAATTGTACAAGATCAATGGGACCCTAAGAGCCTTCATCAGGAACTCAATGGGGATGTGGCGTACAACACTAGAGGCCAACTCCAAGCCCATAGCACAAGTCACCATCAAGTGCGGGATCTACCAAGGAGATGCTCTGTCCCCACTGCTGTTCTGCATAGGCCTGAACCCCCTCAGTGAGATCATTAACAAGACTGGCTACGGATACCGACTACGGAACGGAGCAGTTGTCAGCCACCTCCTGTACATGGATGACATCAAGCTGTATGCCAAGAGTGAACGAGACATCGATTCACTGATCCACACTACCAGGCTATACAGCAATGACATTGGAATGTCGTTCGGACTGGAGAAGTGTAGTCGGATGGTAACAAAGAGAGGGAAGGTAGTCAGAACTGAGGGGATTGAACTACCAGAAGGCAACATTGCAGACATAGAGGACAGTTACAAGTACCTGGGGATCCCGCAGGCAAATGGGAACCATGAAGAGGCCGCTAGAAAGGCTGCAACCACCAAGTACCTGCAGAGGGTCAGGCAAGTCCTGAGGAGTCAGCTGAATGGTAAGAACAAGATCCGGGCCATCAACACGTACGCCCTGCCCGTGATCAGGTACCCTGCTGGGGTAATAGGCTGGCCAAAGGAGGAGATAGAAGCCACTGACATAAAGACAAGAAAGCTCCTTACCATGCATGGAGGGTTTCACCCCAAGTCCAGCACCCTGAGGCTGTACGCTAAGCGGAAGGAAGGGGGCCGGGGACTGGTGAGTGTCAGCACCACAGTCCAGGATGAGACAACGAACATCCAAGAATACATTGGGAAGATGGCCCCAACTGACCGAGTGCTCAGTGAATACCTCAGGCAGCAGAAACCCAAGAAAGAGGAGGGAGACGAGGAACCATCATGGAAGGACAGGCCCCTGCACGGTATGTACCACCGGCAGATAGAGGAGGTGGCTGATATCCAGAAATCCTACCAGTGGCTGGACAAAGCTGGACTGAAAGACAGCACAGAGGCACTAATCATGGCAGCACAAGAACAAGCTCTGAGTACAAGATCCATAGAGGCTGGGGTCTATCACACCAGGCAAGACCCCAGGTGCAGGCTGTGTAAAGATGCCCCAGAGACAATCCAGCACATAACAGCAGGGTGCAAGATGCTAGCAGGCAAGGCATACATGAACGCCATAACCAAGTGGCCGGCATAGTGTACAGGAACATCTGTGCCGAGTATAACCTGGAAGTCCCGAGGTCAAAATGGGAGATGCCCCCAAGGGTGGTGGAGAATGACCGAGCTAAGATCCTGTGGGACTTCCAGATACAGACGGACAAAATGGTGGTGGCTAACCAACCGGACATAGTGGTGGTAGACAAACAGAAGAAGAGGCCGTAGTGATACATGTAGCGGTTCCGAATGACAGCAACATCAGGAAGAAGGAACACGAGAAGCTGGAGAATACCAAGGGCTCAGTAGAAGAGCTCGAGAGGATGTGGAGGGTGAAGGTAACGTGGTCCCAGTAGGTAATCGGTAGCGACTAGGTGCAGGTGACTCCCAAGCTAGGCGAGTGGCTCCAGCAGACCCAGGAACTAACATCTGGAGATCTCTGTCCAGAAGAGCCAGTCCTAGGAACAGCATAAGATACTGCGCAGGGCCCTCAAGCTCCCAGGCCTCTGGTAGAGGACCAGCTTGAAGGATAAACCGCCCACAGGGGCGGTGTACTGTTTTAATTAGTGTACTATTATATATATATATATATATATATATATATATATATGTATATATATAGTATCTATCAGTAGTGTACTAATTCAGCAATGCAAGATTTCAATTATGGGCAGGTATATATGATTACATATGATTACATAGTATATATGTGAGTATATGTCCAGTGTATACAGATATATATGTCATATATTTCATACAAAAAGCCTCAACTACAGTTTGTTAAACCTTGGTCATGACATAGCTCAAAATGTAAATCGAACTCATTGCAGATATTTTATGAGTTTAAATCTGAATCCTATTTTCCAGTCATACAGAGAGAACTACGAGTATGCAGAAGCCCTGGGTGTGATCTCCATTGTGGGACTTTCTCTTTCTATTCTAGGTTTGGTTGTGACGATCATTTATCACATTAAAGAAAAGTAAGTTTGGGTTACTTCACAGATAAGAAATGGTGTTTAATTATGCTGCATTAAAATTCTCTCATCACATTTACCAAACACTTCTAGTTGTTATTTAACAAACTGAAACTTTCTTGGATGCAACAAATAGTTATTTTCATTTTACATTAATGCTTTGATTATTTTATTTGACCTATAAAGTCTAAAAGTTGTAAAATTGCTGTCTGTCTGTTTTTATTTTTTGTGGTGTTTTTCTTTAAGAAATACCAAAACTTAAAAGATATTAAAACTTCTTTGTTATTTTTCTCTCTGTAGCTTCTTCAGCAAGTCTCATGGGCAGCCAAGTAACTTGAATTCAAAGCTGGCTCTGCTGTGCATCTACCTCAGCCTGCTGGCCTTCATCATCACCTTCCTCTCTGGAGTCCAAAACTCCAGCAGACAGAACGACACAAAGGTGCAGAGTGATGATCGGATCAACAACATCTTGAACTCTGATGAACACATAGAACCAGACCGCGGCTCGTGTACGGCTGTAGCAGCTCTGCTGCACTTCCTCCTGATGGCCACCTTCATGTGGAACAGTGTATACAGCACTCAACTGGTGCTGCTGGTCCGGTCAATGCGCCGCAGCCTGCCAACACACTGGACTCCACTGAGTGTGACTCTCGGATGGGGTAGGACATTCAGAAAGAAAACAAAAATGCCAAATTTGAAATATTTTAGAAGAACTTTAAAGTAGTATAATTAGAAGGAAAAAAGTCATAACATTAAGGAATGCAGATACACAGCACTGTGCTAAAATCTTGAGCTTCTTATCATTTATTTTAGTTTAAAACAAAATTAAAATAAAAACTGAACATTTTCCAGTGATACACAGATACATCCGCAAACCCCCGTCACATCATTTTCAGATCACCGCGGTCTTACGCTACTCAGGTTAAATTTCATTTTACTTCAACTGCTGTTTTGATTTGTTGTGTCCTGTTAGGAATGCCAGCGTGTTTCATGATCATCACACTGGGGGTGAGCTACAGGGTGGACAATCCGCTGGGATATAGACAAGAGGAATTGTGGGTAATCTGTGAAATTCTCCACCCTACAATGACCTAAATTCCCAGTTTGGATTATAGAATAGTTTATATTTTGTGAAATTTATGGAAGACCACAAAAGCCACGCGCATCAAAATAAAGAATTCTGTGCTTGAATAATAAATTGTAGAATAAATTCTGCATTTGCAAATTTATTTTTGAATTCCACATTAGAAAACTGATTTTTAAAATGTTTTTAAAAAAATTCATTTCAAAAACTTTTCCGAGTTCCAATTTAAAAAACTTATTTTCAAAATGCTTTTTAAATTCCACTTCTCATTTCAAAATCCATTTCCCTTTCCTGTTCGCTCACGGATTAGCTCAGGGATTTACATTTGCATTAGCAACTGGATTAGCAACTTCATTTTAAAAAGCTTGCTGCAATACAAATTAGCCACACCGTGAGATGTAAGGAGCTCTCTGATTGGTTGGACAGACACAGGCTGCCAGCCTGAATTTTTCTTGCTCATAGCTTTGCCCTGCTAAGAGGCGTGTGTGCTTGTACAAAGGCCGTTCAGCCTCGGGATTTACACTCGGCTCGACACGGATATGTGAAGAATGAAGGGACCCTGCAGCGAAACGGAGAGCTGAACCTCTGACTGTGTGCCTCTTTACTCAGTCTGACCACCTGTTGAAGGTAACGTGCTAACATGGCTAATGCTAGCATCACCGCACGTATCCCTGTTATTTTAAGGTCATCTTAGCTTATGAATCTTTTACGTCGCAGCTGTACAAGCTAGCTACGTTTTTTGTACGCTACTGTGGTCTTCACAAATAAAGCTTGAAGCAGCTCAGACTATTAGCACTGAGCCCTATTACATTTATACAGTGTTAGAGCATTAGAGCTGCGACCTACAGCCTTTAAACTAGCGATTAAAATGCTGACAGTAAACTCGTCAGTCCAGATGTTACCAGATTACTTTATGATACTTAGAGTTAAAACAACTAAGACAGGCTGATTAAAATAACAGCTGTCAGTTCTCTCATTCCTTATATCAAAACTGGAGATCACACTACTGATTTCAGTTCATTTAATATGTGAGTGCACAGATTCATTCTCAACTGGACATAAATGATGATCAAAGGTTGTATAAATGATGAATTCATCAAATCCCAGCCTCTAACACAGTGCGCTGAATCTTAGCATTGAATGTCCAGTATATTCTAATCAGCACACTTTAAGCATTCACTGCAACTACAGTATCTACACCTCTGTGGCAAATGTGTGGTAAAGATGCAGATTACAAAATGTAATTATTAAAATATCGTGTACTTTTCTCTGTATGCCCTGTGCTTATAAAGGCCTTGAATTCTGTGATATACACTGTAATTATTTTCACAGAGGTCTTAAAGTAGTTAAATCACTGCTGATAGCCTGGTTGTTTATAGTATCAATGTTTTTGTGTCTGTAGGTCTGTTTGATAACAATTTGGACTCCTCTGGGAGATGAGGATACACCCACATCTGTTCCATACCGCAGTCATGGATGGTGTTATGGCTCTGAGTCAGCTTTGGGGCATCAGACACACATACGGGGAAACCAGCACCTGGACTTCATGAAGGAAAAACTACCTCAGTGATGACTGACTGGCTCTTTCTCCTTTAACACACAATTAAAATCACTCCAAAAGAGTGTAAACCTACTGAGGAAGTCTGTAACTTTTTACACATTTGTACTTTTACTTGTTTTATGAGTTATATTTAAGAAGAGTAAAGTTATTCACATAAAGTTTTTATTCTTTTGTAATATGTACCACAGTAATACTGAAGTTAGAAAAAAATATGTCTACATATCATATACATATATATATATATATATATATATATATATATGTGTGTGTGTGTGTGTGTGTGTGTGTGATCTACAGTATCAAAAGCGGAGCTGAGATCCAACAGAACCAGAACTCTGTACTCTCCATCAAGATATCACTCGATACTCTAAGTAAAGCCGTTTCAGTGGAATGTAATTTACGAAAACCAGCATTTTTATCCAGGAAATAGTCAAGTTGTTCTACTACTATTTTTTCTACAAGCTTTGATACAAAGGGCAATTTGGATATTGGCCTATAACTGTTAGGAAGAGATGGATCCAGGTGGGGTTTCTTTAACCCTTTAGAGCCGGTCGGAGCGGGCATGCTCTGTTTTGCGTAACTATTTTTAAATCCCGGTAGCTCTGCAACCACGTAAGCTAGCGCAATAATTTTTTTTTGCATATGAAACCGGAGGAGTTGTACTTACATCTTATGCCATCAGCTTGTCCTAGGTCACAGTTTCCTTCCACATAGAGCTTTGCAAAAACTGCATAAAAAGCACTTGCACCAACAAAAACATAATATTCAAGAAACACGCTTTGCCGATCCAATCAGCTGTTCATAACACTTCCTACGTTGGAATAGACGTCAGCGCGGACTTTTGCATGTCCGCCATTGCCTGCCCGAAACCGGAAGTGACGTCATTTTCGCGGAAATGTAGTTTTTTTAATCATCAGGGCCTCAGGGCCTATACTGGTGTTTTTAAAAGTTATGTTTGACTTTATGACTTTCTGTGTCTTTTCTGGGATGCTTAGGACTCAAATTGCACTGCTGGAAATAGTTTATTTTGATGCATATGCTGCTTTTTTGCAAATTTGCAGTACAATATTTATTTTTGTTTTTCCTGCAGTATATAAAAATTGGTGTATTTCAAAAATAAAACTATGAAGACACTCAAAATAAATTTCCTGTGGTAGGAAACTATTTTATGCAACTTTTTTGTATTTACAGTTTGAGGGATAAGCCTCTTAAATTTCTGTAACTAGAAATATATTTTTAAAAAGCAAAAACGATTTTCAATATTTTTGTAGTTTATTGCACTTTTTTGCAATTTATGTAATTACTATGCACTTAATGAATACATATTATTAAAATCTGGGCTATAATTGTTGTATTGATGTATAGCAACTTGAAATCCTCCCAAAAATGGCACCACACTATGTAAAAATATAATATACCATATTTTCACGACCATAAGGCGCACTTAAAAGTCGTAGATTTTCTTCAAAAAGTACGGCGCGCCCTATAGCGCAGTGCGCCCTGTGTGTTGTAAGGAGGACGTAGTAGAGAACACCATGAGAACTCTAAAGGGTGAAGTGTGGGCGTTGATCGTATATACCGGACAATCGCACATACCTGTATAAAAGAACAGGTATGTGCATTATGCAGGACATCGTTGTTTTAACAACCCTGAAAATGGCAAAGAGACACGCTTATGAAGCACAGTTTAAACTGAAGGCCATCAGCTATGCGGAGGAAAATGAAAATCGAGCAGCGGCGAGAGAATTTAAGATTAACGAATCGATGGTTCGCAAATGGAGGAAGCTGGAAAACAAGCTCCGGCAGGTCAAGAAAACGCAGCTGAGTTTCCGCGGACATAAGGCGAGGTGGCCTGAGACTCGTGCGGTGGATCATCGAGCAAAGAACGAGCGGGAGAAGCGTTTCGACGGTCACCATTTGGCTAAAAGCAGTTTGACTAGCTGAAGAGATGAACATTGAACATTTCCAAGGAGGTCCGTCTTGGTGCTTTCGTTTTATGAAACGGTGCCATTTTTCCATCCGGACCAGGACTACGGTAGCGCAGCAACTTCCAGCGGATTATAAGGAAAAACTGGCCATCTTCCGCTCCTACTGCAGTAAACACATCGGCGACAAAAACATCCAGCCCAGCCACATCACAAACATGGACGAGGTCCCGCTCACTTTTGACATCCCGGTGAGTCACACTGGAGAAGAAGGGGAACAGCACGGTAGCGATACGCACAACGGGGTATGAAAAGTCTTCTTTCACTGTTGTGCTTGGCTGCCATGCTAATGGACAGAAACTGCCGCCTATGGTGATTTTTAAGCGAAAGACTTTGCCTAAAGAGAAGTTTCCAGCAGGAATCATCATTAAGGCAAATGAAAAGGGCTGGATGGATGAGGAAATGATGAAAGAGTGGCTGAGGGAGGTGTATGTAAGGAGACAAGGTGGTTTTTTTCCACGCATCACCATCGCTCTTAATCTGTGACTCTATGCGTGCCCATCTCACAGCCGATGTGAAAAAACTAGTGAAACAAATGAACTGTGAGCTTGCTGTCATTCCGGGAGGCCTGACAAAGGAACTCCAGCCGCTGGACATCGGTGTGAACCGCCCGTTCAAAGTAAGGCTGCGAGCGGCCTGGGAGCGATGGATGACCGATGGAGACCACAGTTTCACCAAGAGTGGAAGGCAGCGCAGGGCGAGTTACGCCACAATTTGCCAATGGATTGTAGATGCTTGGGCTAACATGTCTGCTGGCACTGTTGTTCGAGCTTTCGCAAAAGCCGGCATCATTTCCGAGGAGCCGCACGGCACGGAAAGTGACTCTGACAGTGAAGAAAGTGAACCTGGCATGTTTGATGGAGATTTAGCGCAGCTGTTCAATTCAGACACAGAGGATGAGGACTTCGATGGGTTTGATTAATGATAAAAATGTGAGTACCAAACTTTGTTTTGCTCCTGCTTTATTTTTAAATACGCATACGGTACTTGTATGCGCCCTATAATCCAGTGCGCCTTATGTGTGTGTTAAATACAGTAATGGCACACATAACTGAGACTGGGCCTTTTAGTACAGTGCGTCTTATGGTCGTGAAAATACGGTAAGCTCTGGCGGACTTGGTTCTATGGTAGGTCTTAAAGGGTTAATATTGGTTCAACAACAGCTTGTTTAAAGAATCTGGGAACTGAGCCAGTATAGAGAGAAATATTTATCACTTCCACAATACAGGGGCTAATGGAATTAAACACGCTAATGAAAAGTGAGGCAGGTAGGACATCAAGAGGCTTGAAGTCTGTTTCATATGACAAAATAGGACTCTGATGTCCTGTAATGTAACATGAGTAAAAGAGGACCAAGTATCAGAGCAAATTCTAAGTTTAATACTGAGAAGATGAAGGAGAGATATTTGACCTGATGGCAGTGACGTTATTTGTGAAATTGATTAATTGTCTTAATTGTATTAAATTGGAATTCGAAAATGGATTTTGAAATGAAGTTTCTAAAAAACATTTTAAAAATCTGTTTTTTAATGTGGAGTTCAAAAATGAATTTACAAATGCAGAATTTATTCTACAGTTCATTAAGCACAGAATTCTTTATTTTGATGAGGGTGGCTCTTGTGGTCCTCCATAGAAATTACATCCACTGCCTAAAAAAAATGTCATTTTCAGTAAATAAAGTATTTATAAAATTTTGATCAACACGCAGACAAAAGTGTTTTTTTATGTTCTTTTCCTCTCACTGTAGTTGTTGGCTGGCAGCGTTGGATAAGAACAAACAGTTCAACTTTGGAAAACCGATGTTTTGGGCTTTCCTTCTTCCTATCGGCCTGATCCTGATTTACAACATCGTCCTGTTGGTTATTACCTCCATGACTACATGCAAAGTTGAACCCAGACTGACCAGGTAACATCTAATGCTGCTGTTGTTTCAAAAAATATTTCAAAAATAAATTACCCAAATTTAAGTGGCTGTTAAAAGGTGCAATTCTCAGATATAAATATATTAAGAAAACCAACATTTAAAAATGAGAAAGGAAAAAGAAAAACTTTGAACACAATTCAACTGTGAGCAAAAAAAAATGGCTTTATTTCTTTTTGTTAATAATAACACTAATAACTAATAACACAGTAATGCTCCATCTTTGTCTTCAGGAGAGGTGTATCAATGCATACACTCCATTTTCACAGATATGATGAAAAGATTATGCAGAATCATTTCTGACTAGCTTCCATGTGGATTTTAACTCTGTTTTTACTGTAGCAACAAGAAGTCATCTTTAAGCAGGAAGTTCCTCATTAGTTTATCTCTGGCGGTGTTACTCGGTCTGTCCTGGACTCTGGGATATTTCGTGCTGCTCAGTTCAGAAAAAACACACCTGATCTTCAGCATTTTGTTCTACATCTGTACAACCACACAGGTATGACTCCTTCCACTTCATTCTAGAACTGAGATTAAAGGTGTCATGAGCTTCTCAGACTTCAGGTAAACACATAAAATGCAAAAAAAGAAAAACAAACGGGAGGTGATTGTTGAAAGTTTTATATTTAATTCATGGTATATCGAAGGGAACAAGGAAAACTGAAACATTTTAACTGAAGCAGTAGTAGTAATAAAAGTACGAAAATGCTGGTAACTCTTGCAAATATTAGGATATTAGTGACAAAGCCAAGAAAAACAAAGGCTCATCTCAGTAACCACAGCATTTAAAGAGGATGCCACACCCGAGTTTCAGTCGCTGTTGACAACTGACTGCAAGTAGCTCTGGTATCCAATTGCATCACCATTTTAAAAAGATAGCCTGGTGGGAGGCAACCTGTCTTCAAACAATCATGGCCTGACTTAAACTTCTGTTCTGCAGCAAGTACGTCACTATTTGTGGAGGAATTTCTAGCATGGTACTGGCTCTGTGACCCAGTGTTTTGTGTTTGTTTAAGTTATATTCCTTGATTATCTGTTATTCATGACTTTGGTTTTCTTGGTGGTTTGCTGTTCATATTATATTTGTAGTTCTAGGTCCTAGTTTTGGTCACTGTGTCTTCCCTGTGTTCCATGTTGCATATACAGTCAGTCATGTCTCAGTGTCAAGTCCTTGGCTGTATCCCAATTCAGGATCTGCATCCTTTCGCAGTCTTTGTGGGCCGGGTCCTCCAAAGACCGAGAAGGCCCGAAGTGCCAGTCTTGTGAAATGGGACCGTCTAGCCTCCGTCATGCTGCTCAGGTTGCCTAGCAACCATGATACTAACCGCTGGAAACGTTTCATACAGCATTGTTTGACAGAAATGAAGGAGACATTTCTTTTGTTCATCTGTTTGTTTTTACATGAGCTTTGTTTGATTTGATAAGTATCTGAGGCTGAGACCACAGGACAGTAAAACATGATTGTTGGGCTTCATTTCTGTACTGAACAGTCATTTAAAGATTAGCTAGTAAATAACAATTAGCTAATGTTGTTCATGAGACTAAAGTCATCTCACTTTGGTAATGTAAATATAATATGGCCAATATTAAATTAACTATTATATTAATTATTATTAGGTATTACAGCAGTGAACCTGAACTCTGTATCAAATACTGGGCTTCAGTAAAGATTCAAGTTGCAGTTATTTATATTTCCTAAAACCTTATATCTTCACTCAAAGACAAGTATCTTTTACAGTGTATATATAGATGTATTATATATTGTTCTTTTAATATGTTGGCTGATAGGTTTGTAGCATAAACCTATTCGCTGGAACGTTCAAGACAATTCTACTACACAGCAAAGCAAGACACAAGCAGGCAAAGTTCTTTATGTTTCTCATATACAAGAAAGACCAACTGGACAAACACCGTTCCTTCGCTTGACCCCAGTTGCTTTTGTCTGCTCCCTCGTAACACTGCTCTTTTATTGCGGTTACATGAATATACATAGGCTCATTTACATAGGTACACATGTGAACAAAGAGTACTGTCTGTGTGTGTGTGTGTGTGTGTGTGTGGCTGTGTGTGTGTGTGTGGGGGTGTCAGAATGTGACCACATAAATAACTTCCCTAACCCTGCTGGTCTGGAAGTCCAGCAGTTCATCTAAACAAAAGGCACTTGTACTAAAACAGATATAGATGTGTTTGCTGTACCATATATCAGTAAGAGAAGATACGAGATCTCTCATGACCCTAGAGTGTGAGTGTGTATGCCAGAACACTCTGGAATGCACACAAAGTCTTTGCAGACTACTAAGGATCACACATCCTATCACTACACAATCGATTATACACCTCTAAGGTCTGGTTAAATATTTCTAAGCATAAATGACAATCAACAATATAAACCTGACATTGGCATTAGTAAATCTGTCTGAATCCTTACATATACTGTATGTGTAAAAAGAAAATGTACGACCTGTGATAACTGTTGCTGGTGAAATGAAGAGTAGACTGATATATTAAATATTCCTTTATTGGGTGAGAAAATCATACCATGTCATAACTGCTTTAAGTCATACAGAATAGATATCAGAGCCTTAAACAGGCTGACTTCTGCTAAATGGGTCAAACTGGGCAGAAAGTCTACAAACACATAACATCCTTATAGAATATGATGTAACACTATAGATCAACTTAGCTCAGAATATATAAAGCATATAAACAGTTACAGCAATATGATGCAACAAACACAGCAGCTACTGATCCAAAATACTCCAAAATACTCAAAGCTTCATAGAACTGAAACCAACATTTATTTTAGCGCCATCCTGCTGCTGATACAGACTTTAGGTTTCTGAACATTAAACTCTTTCATAGTGTGTAACTTGAAGGCCCTGAGTACTCTGAGTACTTTCTCCCACACTGGAAACACTGGAATGATCAAATTATGTGAACATTACCTAATAAGACTGATTCAGGACAGACAATTAGTTATTTTAAACTTTCCTAGCAGTCCTTCACAAACAGGGAACAGTCTGTCTATTCTCTCCATCTGTCAGCTGCTGCTGGCTCTTCCTCACACACTGCTGAGTTTATCCTGGTGGATCATCAGGGGTGCAATGCTGGACACTTGCAGTTTTCACACATGGAATTCAAATGTGTGATAAGCTGCAGGATTCAAACACAACACACAAGAATTTACAAAGTAATAAGAAAAATCTTGCAAAATAATTTCAGGTACTTTACTAATAACTAGAAAGAATAATTTGTTACTTATAAGTAGCATCAAACATGACATTAATAACAAAAATAAAGAGAGTAACCATCATCTTCCCTTTCTGTTTTTTAGGGTTTACAAATTTTCCTCCTCTTCACAGCTCGAACACGGGCCTTCAGAGCCTCCATGTCACGGTCCATGCAGTACATTTCCTCAATCAACATCCCTCTGAACAACACAAAGTACAATCTGTGGAAGAAGTGGAATACCTGGAATATGAGCCAATCGGAGACCTACAGGGATCTGAGTGACATCGAAATGACCACCAGCAAAACCCTGTAGGACCTGAGGAGGACTTACAAAAAAACCTCTTGCAGTAAAAACTTGTCATGTTGACAAGGATTACATGCATACATCACAATGAAAATTCATATTTTACAGTGTAAGCTAATAGCTGGGAATATTGCTGAAGTCTCCTGGATGAGCTTCTGATTTTTTAAGTGTATTTTTGACTGACTGAACTGCATTTCCCAGAATTTCCAACATGCTGTTCTGCCATCAGAGGAAGAAGCGGTTGGATTTCCTGACTGCTTTGACAGTCTCTCGTTCTCTACATGAAAGACGACAGAGATGACATAGATTATAAAGACTGCTCTGCTACGCACTTTCTATCCAAAATTATGATCCTAAGTTGGCATTTTTCCTTCACAGCTATCTATAAGTTCACTGTATCTTGTATAAAACACAATGTTTTGTTCATCACATCAATAGGCAACATAAATAAATATTTGTTGTCAGGTGGTAAAGTTCATATTTTATCCAATTCTTTACTTCCCACCTATAAATTAGAAATACAAAAATTGAAGGCTCTGAAAATGTGCTGAGGTTTGTTCATGCTTTTTGTACAATACTGATGCACTGTTATTTTTAGTGTTTGTTTTTGTGCTGTTATTTATGTCCAGCAGAAACTCTTGTTTCTGTATTCATTATGAATTCAAGGTGCTGCGCTGGTGTCCAAGCAGCTCTTCATACTGATCTGAAGTGATTAATGATGGTGAATGTGTCTTTTTAAAAACTGGTGACCCAGCTGGACAAAGCAGTGATCATTGCTGCCTCCAGGTGGTGACAGTTAGTTTGTTTTGACTTCAAAGTTCACAGCAGAGCTGAATGATAAACGTTTTATTTTACCAGAGAATAGTGTTTATCATCATTTAAATTGTACTGGAAGCTTTTGAAATGTTGGAAATGTCACACCTTTTAATTTTAAAATTGCACTTTTTTCTTTCATGAATTACAGTTATTTGTATTTTAAGCTTTGTCTTGTGTCTGAAAAGATTTAGCTGTCCACTAATTTCAGATTTCCAGCCTAAAACGTCAACACTTTGAAAGGAGCCAATCTGCATTTCTACTCGAAGTTTTGAGCCTTTAATTTGTCATTTTAATTTTAAAAGATTTGGCTTCAGTGGCGTATTGTTATTTCGTTATGTTGTCTACTAATCCAACAGCTTGTGGTTTAATATGAAATGTGAAGTTTTTGATATGATTTTTGTATTGAACAACTTTGTGACAGAAAAATCACACTTAATTGGAGAACATAGTTGTCTTTAAAAACTGATTTCCACTTTAAATAAATTTTTGTGTTATTTTGTTTGCTGTCTTTTTTATTTTCTTTCTTATACTCTAATGTGGTCTTCATGATTTAACAGTTCACTGGCATTAGGGCTGCCACGATTTGTCGACTAGTCACGATTACGTCGACTATCAAAATCGTCGACGACTGATTTAATAGTCGACGTGTCGTTTGAAGCTTTGTAAGATCGCAAAAGACGCAGGAATAAGTAGCAGGATTTAAGAGTGTAATAACGGACTGAAACAGAAGATGGCAGCACTGCATGTACAAGGATGCCAGCTGCCGTTAAACCCCGAAGAAGAAGAAGCAGCTGTGTCCCAGAATTCATAGCGCGGCCCAGCTTAGTTTCCAACAATGGCGGTAGCTAGTTAGTTTTAATATTACTCTTATTATTCTTTCTGGGTCACAAAATAAACGTTTAACATATTTTCAGGCGAGAATGTAGCTGTGTAAACCTCAAATATCGGCTCAGTTTATCAGGACACCACATATTTTCAAAAGCGCTCCGACGTTTTCGGAGACGTCTGTTACCCACTAGCTCGATAGCTAGCCGGGGGCTAGGTCACTAGCGCCGTGAGAACACCGGACTCCCGGCAAATTGTTTTCAAACCCACCGCCGTCTTTCGCGACTCAGGTTAAATATATATGAGTCACTTAGATAAATTAAAAATGTTGTTGTTGGCTTTTTTTTTTTTTATTTTATTTGTTCCTGAGTAAATCGGTTTGGCTGAGATTAAAGTTATAGTTTTTACACAGCTGAATAAACGTAAAGCAGACAGCTGATTATCAGAAGTGTGAGATGCTGGAGAATTTACTCCGGTGTCCTGTTATATTTTAGATAGCAAGGAGTTTATTAAACTTACCGAAACAATCTGCAAATTTCATTAAAATTTAATAAACTATCATCTTGTCTTTATTTTTAGTTAGCACCTTAAAAGCTTAAAGCTGTAAGCTAATGATAGTTATATAAGAGCAGATGCTGCTGGTGCAATAAGCTGTAGTTTTACGTCCAGTGGATGATGATCTGATTAGTCGACTAATCGCATAAATAATCGGTGACTAGTCGACTATCAAAATAATCGTTTGTGGCAGCCCTAACTGGCATAAACAGGTTTTTCAGTGTTCTGTAATGGAAATGGCAGAAATATTCTTTTTTGCATTATATATTCTTATTTTCAAAGGTCTGAATTATTTCTAAATCTTCTAAAGTTATTACTAAAAGCTTTATTTAAATAATTCCTCCACGGTGCTGTAAGACATTGCCAGTTATTGCAAATGCTTGATTGCAGTTATTGCTTCTAAAACCAGTTATTAGGTGCAACCAGTTATTAGGTTTAGGGGGCAATCACTTTTTCATACAGGGCCCTTAATAATAAATGCCTTCATTTAAAAACTGGATTTTTGTTTACTTGTGTTATTTTTGTTTAATATTAAATTTTTTGATGATCTGAAACATTTAAGTGTGACACGATATATACAGAACCTCATATGGGTATTTTGCAATCGCTACATTTATACATTTACATTTCACTGGTATGTAGTAATATCACAGCAGTACTGCTGTATATCAAATGATCAGCGGATGTCAGTACATCGTGCATTGTATGATTTAACTTTTGGTGGGGAAAAAAATTCACAGGCATTTATCATACCATCACTAGTTGTGAGAGTCCCAGTCTCCAGGGGCAAGGGTTTCCTCTATCCACAGTTTCCAGTAGATGTCTGTAGACGATGCATGTCAGACATGACCACTTTTGTAACACTTTTATTCTTGGCTGCAGCGTTCCAGCTGCCAGCCACACATACACCAACAACTTCAGTCAGGGTCCAGTACAGACTTAAATGCAGGGGAAGTGTGATGAGCTCTGCCTCCCCACAGCTGCGCCACAGACCCACCACAATGTCTTAAATAGAGAAGGTGTTGAAGCTTTGCTCTGATTTCAAAGAAAGTGTTATGACCCAGGTCATGATTTTGTGTGTTGCTTTTGCTCGCCACACCTGAGGGTGGCGTTGTTTGTTCTCTGTTTTGTTTACTAAGAAACATCTCCAAACTGCGAACTTTGCTGTCTAAATCTGAGTTGGAAATGGTTATTCATGCTTTTATTTCATCTCGCTTAGATTATTGTAACAGCCTTTTTCTTTGTTTGAGCAAAAGGAATCTTGACCGTGTCCAGTCAGTCCAGAGTGCTGCTGCAAGGCTTTTAACTAAGACGCGAAAAAGAGAGCACATTACACCAGTGTTACGTTCATTACATTGGCTTCCAGTACATTTCAGAATTCATTTTAAAATCTTGGTACTGACTTTTAAAGCTTTGAATTGTGATGCCCCTGCTTACATTTCTGATCTTTTAGAACCCCATGCTCCCTCTCGCAGCTTGAGATCATCTAATCAAAGGCTGTTGGTAGTCTCTCGAACATATTTTAAAACCAGAGGTGATAGATCTTTTAGAGCGGTGGCCCCCAGGTTGTGGAATGCTCTCCCTCCATCATTACGTTGCCTTGATTGTATTTATTCTTTTAAAAAGCAGCTTAAGACTCATTTATTTAGATTGGCTTTTAATTAGATTTTTGCTGTGTGTTTTATTATTAATGTATTTTATGTATTTCTGTTTTATATTACTGTGAAGCACTTTGTGGTTTTTATCCTGTGAAAAGTGCTATATAAATAAATTGATTTGATTTTGATTTTGTGCTTGTTTAAGTTCCAGATGGAGACTGACCATTAGTGGAAGAGTGAGGCTGTGTCCCAATCCAGCGACCGCACGCTTTGGTGAATAGTAAACAGGTGTCAAAGATGAATCTTGTGACACCTGTTGGAACCACATTATCGTAAATGCACAGTCCCGCAAATCTGTGAATCATTTTCCAGACAGAAGGCAGTATGAATAGAAGTATCACCACTACAAGTATAATCAATTGTACCAATATTACCCTTCCCTGGCCACACACTGAAATGTCAACATATTCCAGGCAGGAATGTAGCTGTGTACACACCAAATATCTGCGTGAGTCACCAAGACATCACATATTTGCAAAGGTTGTCACACCATCCATGTCAAATATGATAGAGAACCCCCTGACCTTAACCTAGGACCTTAAAAAGTAAATGTTTGGCCTCAGTCAGTGCTGCCCCTGTCCCACAATAAATCGTTTTGCCTGACATTTCAGTTTGTATGTCCCACACAGCTGAATATGCTGAACATACGGAAAATAGGGAACCGATAAAACAGAAGTGCAAGATGGTCAGGAATGTAATCCAATGTCTTGCTGCATTCCAACGGCAAGGAGCAGACGGCCAAACTCATCCGACTCCGCCGTGAAAATGAGCCCCTGTTCAAAACACTCAGCTGCAGTGGGTTGGAGGTACAGCAACAGTATGAGGTTTCCAATCAGTGAGGCACAAGGGAGAGTGAACTGTCTGCCCTGCGGTCCTAATCTAGTACATTTTGCTGTGGATGCCATTCAGGGAATAACCTTATTTTTATTTTCTATCATATTTCGTCTGTCAGAGCAATCGTGGAGAAGATGGACCTGGTAGGGAAAATCTCCCCTGTGCAGGCCAAACGAAAATGGGAGAATCTAAAAAGGAAATACTATGTACAGTGGTATTGACAGATGTATCTCCACACGGAATACTGCGAAGTCATCTATGTAAACCTGTACTGTAGCTGTTTTTGCCAACTGCCACTTTTGATGTACTCTGCCTTTAGGAGTGCAAGTATCCAGCGACAGGCAATAGTGCAAGTGGGAAGCCCACTGCTGCAACATGGCCCTGGTTTGGACCCATGGATGAGGTGTTAGGACAGAGGCCCTCTACCAGGCCTCCAGTCCTAATTTCCTGCATCCAGGAGGACACACCAGGGCCCAGTGCAGTAGTGGGCAAACCCACTTCCTCACCAGGAAGAGCAGGAGGATGAGGAGCCGCTGGAGGCACGAGTGGTGAAAAGAAAGAGGGACGGGGAGGATGAACTTATTGCTCTAATAAAAGAGGACATGGCACAGCAACGTCAAATGGAGGAACAGAGAGCCGAGAGGATGGACGGGCTGCTAGGTGTCCTTGAGAAGCATGTCGAGCAGAAAAAGGATTGAGTCGTGTTCACAGACATCTAATGTACATATTTGCATACTTTATTTATGTTGGCGTCCCAACCTTTGTTGTGTACAAACAAGATGATTTAAGTTATGTAAATAAAGACATTCGTAACATCCCAACTGTATTTTCATGTTTGTAACGAACTCCATAAAACAATTTCTGAGGGCCTGACCTACTGCATTTGCCAAACTGCGAAAATAACAACAGTACAACAAAAAACACAACAGGATTATTGGTAATGAAATGCCCATTGTGGTCCAGGATTAACCTGAGTGTCCCAGTATGCACAGGCATTGTTAACCAGGCCTGACATTTGGCTGAGCAGGGAGTCTCGGGCAGTGCTGCTGAAGTGCTGTTGCAGCCGAAGATAGCGTAGGCCCCGCTAGCTGTTCCCCGGCAGAGGGACATGTGACATTGCAACATCTAACCGTTCCCCTCTTTATGTCACATAGAGAAAGTGGCGTGGCTGCAAAAATCAGTGCATCTATGACCCATCTTGTCCACTAAATTTGTTAGGAAGAGATGCTTTAACAAAATTAAAAATAGGAGTTATTCCTGAAGAAAGTGGCATGCAAGCCAACTCCTACTCTCTGAAAGTCAGAGCCAAACTGAAGACATTTTTGTTTGTGAAGGTTTAGGTGAGCCAAATTATTACTGGACCTTAGATTTACCACAACTTGAACCATTAGAGGCCAAAGCTAATGTGTACTTACCTGAGCACTCACACAGGCAGGACCCAGCAAAATATCACAACACCCTGTGGTATAAACATGTCCCAGGCCCAGACAAAATTTATGATCAACAAGTGCACAGACTAGGACCGCAAAAACTAGTCCTACAACATCTGTATGTAACACAGAGTGGCAATGCAGTATGCTCAGTGTTACAAACAGATGCAGTGCAGCGCATAAATAAAATGATGAAC